CAAACATCGTTTAAAGTACAAATAGCACTTCTCCATCACAAGGACAATTCCACTCATTGACTTTCGAGATCAAACAGCAACATTAAATTGAGTTGTATGCAATTTCACATATCTTTTGTGCAGATGTAGTGACATTACCACACTCATATGATGCTTATGCAAAAATTCATTTATTCATTTACCTTTATTATTGTAGATTGTAAGACATCTTTGTGAAAACTTGAAAACAACGTCTTCGACAAGAATTCGTGCGGGTGAATAAAACATGTATTTGTCAACATTTCACCGATGAATGTTGCCACTTCTGCTTAGCAAAGGCGTGTTATGTAATAAAAATTAAAGTTGAATGAAACTTGGAAATAAGAAACAATTTAAATTTAAAATTCATTCATTTTTTTTTACTTTTTTGTTTTATTTATTGCTTAAAATTGTTTTGTTTTCAATATTATGTCGGTCTAAGATGTTGCGATAACACAATTGTAAAACCTTAAGGGATGTGTTGTAAATACTCGTGCATTTATATGCTAATATTGAAGTAACTGACAATCATGTATATAATAAGATTTCAGATACTTGTATTATCACATGTAAGAATTTCTTTAGAAATATATATTTAACATTTTTTGACACTGGGTGCGTGTTAAACTATATTGTCTATATGCTTGGCAAAATGTGTTGGAATATTTCAAGGGAAGTCAACACAAACATTTTGCTTTTTGTGATATTGGCGTAAGATCGTAAACATCGTTTTATATCACGTGTACTGATTTAGAGATTGGATTATTGAAGAGGTATTGACTTGTCTCTCTGTTTCTTATGACGTCAGTTTGATCACAGCATTGCGGCAACAATTTTTAGGAATAGGATACTCTGCAAATCGAATAGATAAACAGTATCCCTCACGTCGTACAACAATACATATAGAGGATATGTGTTTGTTTTGCATGTAAGATTGAAATATAATTTCACTGAGTGAACACCAGATGCAATATTTTCACGAGTGGCGTAGCCACGAGTGAAAATATAATAGCTGGTGTTCACGAATGAAATATATTTAAATCTTATATGTAAAACAAATAATTTTTTTTATTTCATGCTTTTTAAGTGATTTTAGGTATTTTTTACTGATTTTGCCGCGTAACGTCGCGCATTCTCCTTTTGTGACGTCATCACACCATGACGTCACATCATCAATTTTGAAATATAGTTTATTAGAATTTCTCTAATTTTGTTACATTTTAAACATGATGTAAGGTTACATCGACTTTCTTTTCCTAAAGAAGCAAATTTTACATATGACTGCATTTATTTCTGCCTGTTATTTCATTTAGTTATGATTTTCTTTTCATTCGCATTCGGATATAGTCCGGCTACAGTGAAAATTATATTTTATAAATTTCACTAGTGGTTTATCATAATATAATCATCTGATATATTACAGTAAAACACTGGAAAGCATGAAATAAGACGTCGTATTGTATGGTTTATTCATTATCCTGATGGCCATACCTATTATGGACGAAGAAATCGCACGAAATCATTACTTGTGTCATAAACCACAGTTTTATTAAAAATATTACAATCAGACCCCAATATCAATAACAAACTCGTAATCTTTATTTTGACCATTTCCACGCAAACCCGAACATCATTAGTCAAGAAGGATCGCTAGTTTAAAACAAGTTCTACATCTCTGTAGAAAATTGAAAACCCTGAAAGTTTGGTATTGTAGACTGTAATGGGAGAAATACCATTATTCAATTATTTCAAAGTTAATATCAACTTTGTGACCAATTATCTAATAACTTCAAGACCATTTGAGTTATAACAAATACAATCAAATTAACTAAAGTGAGTAATTTCACACTGTTTGTATCATCTATATTTGCAAAATACGTAGCTCTTTTTAGTTGTTCTCATATATAGGTATCAAAATCTTAATATGACAATAGGCAAAGTAAGACATATCTTTAAGGTTCCAATTATGAAGGACTATGTTTAAACATCACAGCTTTATTTGAGAGTGACTCCTTTTTTATGCAGGATATACCAAATCTCCTGTGCAACGTCCGGCACGTACAAAAAGTAATCTTTCATTTTAAAGACAAGGAGATATGTCAATAAGCCAATCCCCCATGCTTACCATTATAGCTTATCGTTGTACATTCAATGGTTATCTCATGCATTTCTCACATGATACTGTGCATTCCTTTAACAACAGAGTCCATGTCAGACGATTTTGTAAGAACAGTTGGTGTAGCCCCAAATTGTTAAGCAAGTTTAATTATGGTTTCTTCAACAAAATCTTTAATTTGATCATAATTATAACAGGTTTACTTACACGAGAAAATATGATACATTCAAGTAAAGATACATTAAAAATATTTTCAACAGAGTTCTTTGACCAACAGAGTTCTTTGACAATTGAGTTCTTTGATCGACAGAGTTTTGTTGATCAGCATCAGGTAAACGGTTTTGCAAAGCAGATTTCTTCTATGTGCAATTTCCCTATATTTCAACCAAACTTTCGCAAAATGTTTGTCATCAATTGTTTGGATTTTTAATCTATTTGTTTATTGTTTGACAGAAGTATGGTTCTTTGACTTTTTCCTATGTGTTTTTTGGCGGAAAACCATAGTTTTTACCGTCCCTTATTCTATCGCGGATTTTTATTTCCGCGTTTATTACGTTTTACGTAGGTCATATTGCGACAACGTTCCAGCTTTAATAGTGGAGGAAGCCCCAAGCATGTGCTCCTCGGCGGATTGTTTCAGGCACCTGAGTAGAAATATCGGTGTAACGTAAGCTAGTAAAATAACTTTCCACAGTCTCTGGCGGGATTGGAACCCACAGCGTGAAGGCAAATGGTTCTCAATTTTTTCGGCTTCGCCCCGGCGCCCCCTGGGGCAAAAAAAACATGCCAAATCAACATAGTTCACCCGATTGATAGGTGTGGATCGTCGGAAAATGGCATCCGATTGATCCTACAGCCCAGCACTTACGATTCATAAATCGAACCAACAAAATATATTCTTAGATTGTTATCAAAGACACCAATAAAAACTGAACTTTAATTTAGTTTTCTAAAATTTATTTTTTTTCTAATTTCATTGGAAGTAAATTTTGGTGGTTGAATTTTATAAATGTTAAAAACCGATGGGACTTCTTTTCCCATCATTTTCCGCAGACAGGATGTTTGATGTCACACTGACAAATTTTAACTTTGAGTTTCGCAAATTTTGGATTATTAAATGATACATGTCACGTTTAAATCTATAATAATAGCGACAAAAAGTATTCATTTATGTTCATGACAAAAAATCAGGCTCAATAAAGATAAACACAGACTCACTTAAATTCTATTAAAAAAACCAATACATTGTATTTAATGATATAAAAATACCCTATATAGTATAAATAACTATATAGGGGGATTTATTTTGGATATTATCGTTAATGTTGATAGAATGTCAAGTTCCTGTGGATAAATTGATTCTTTTTTCGATACGAATGTCTTCCTAGCTCAGCATCATGTACTTGTTTGTTTTCTTCATGTCTTTTATCAGAAAATTTTATTATGGTATATGTCGCATAATTCATGCTCAAATCCTAATTTTATTAATTGACTTTTAGAGTGTGAGAAACAGTGAATGTATATAAACAAATAAGATCGCGATCCACAATCTCTAAACTGACAAATATTCGTACTCGATTTTTCAATTTTGATTCGTGATTATCCGAGTACTTGGATACTCGCCCGATATGCAGATTTATCAAAACGACCCGGAAGTTAAAATGACATATTAAATAAATATACATGTACTGACTTTTTGATTTTTTTAAAACCATAAACATGATTATCATTTATGAGGGGTGAAATTGTCTTATCTATTTTGGGGGGTTGAACTGTCTTGAGCGGTGAGTTGTCTTGGTTTTTTTTTTTTTTGGGGGGGGGGGGAGTGAATCGTCTTGGGGGGGAGGGGGGGTAAAGTTGTATTGTTTCCGGTGAATTAAAGGGGTATGCAGAAAGACTTAGAATAGTGAAAAAAGTAGGTGGATGGCAGATTGTGCATTGTTTAAGAAGGAAGAAACACTATAGCTCGTGATTTAATTTTTTGACGTTAATATATTGTTGTTTTTGCGAATAGGGGTAATCCGCTTTGATTTTCGCGACCAAAACAATGAAAAAACACAGGGCTATGTGCCAGAATACTAGAAGGTGGACATGTATTTTTAATTGTTTGCTTCGGGATACATATGTATCCCTGTTTCTCGTATTCTCGGGGTTTCTCGTATTCTCGTGGAATAATTAAAACGGATGGAAGCGACGCTCGCGACTTCCGTCGATATCCGAAAACTTGTCTATTTAGCAGAGCATTTTCATCTCCAATAAAAAATAAAAGACATGCGACAAAAGCAGATAAAAAACCCAAAATAACTGTGGAAATAATCGTAAAATCCAGAGAATAAACATTAAATATATCAATTTTCGTCCCAAAATCATCAATTTTCTGGGTTTTTTCCATGTGGCGGGTCTCTGACGCAAGACGCTTCAAATGACGGTCTCACACTACTATTTATACAATACAGCTCAAAATATTTGTTCCACGAATATATAATATGACCTCCAATTAAAAACCAATAATGAAACATTGTTTATCCTAAACACATTTCATTTTTGACAACTGCAATGGAAAACAGTAGTTTTCATTGTTTAATGCTCATATAACTAATAAGTAACTAATAAATAAACGTAAACTTAATATATATCAGAGAGTTTATGTAAATAACAACACTAAATTGAGTTCAAACTATTTTTGGAACAATCAAAATCATTTGGTACCAAAGAGGCGTCAATATGATCTTAAAAGTTTGATATGGCCTGCCAAGCTGTTATGAAAACACAATAAAATTACAGATTTAAGCCATTTTACACTTAATCAGGAGTTGCACTAATGATTTGAACTGGTCTGTAGAATAAAATCATCACATAGCGACGAGCCTTAACAACCAATCAGATTCCACGAGAATACGAGAAAGCACCTGCTTCACATGGATGGTGAAGGTCAGTATATACAAGCAGAAATATCTTGTTTTTGCTTACAGTTACGATCTTTCTTTCTTTATATTTTGTTAATAAGGTATTTATCTGTGTATTAGGCTAAAAATACTGTAACAGAATGTTTTCTAAATATTATGCAACCAAGTTTAGCAAAAAAGGATATATCTTCATTTCTATGAAGACTTTGAAGATAATAATTTACGCAGAAGACTTGTGGGCATCTGTTTTAGGTTAGAATGCACAAAACTTCACCAGAATCGACGTTTTCAATGTTAAATTTGGTCCGGAGAGAAGTTGTCTCGAGTTTTCCAGCTACCCCGAGTGACTGTGTCGCACGGTATTTCCATCAAATTGTCCACCAACAGGCAATATCTTTACATGTGCATACTCGGAAAACACATCGCTAGCTAACTGCATTCCGATATTTTTACAATAAATGTCTGTAATCTTCAAAAATTATGAAAACTCATCTTGTTTATCGTGTCACACGTCATAGATGGGTGCTCACAACGAGGAACGGAAGTTGCTCACAAACATTTTTACCGATGGACATTTTACACTCGTTGTGAGTTAAACGGGCGTGTATGTATACATGTTAGCCACGCCTCAAGGAAAAGCAAAATGCATGTGAATGCAAAATGGTACCTTTATAAAATGAGCTAGATAATCGGAAATAAGTCTTAAGAGATGCATTAAAGATCATGACAGTGCAAAATACAAATAGTTCAGCATTTTCTGGTTATTTCCATGCTTGTTCCTGTGACGTCATCATACGTCACTGGTCTATTTTTAGAAATGCCCACGACTCTTGGTAAATAAAGCATATATAGCTTCACAGTGTGTCATACTGAGTTGTAGTCCAACTAATTAGACTTGTCAAAGAGACACCGAGATAATTTTGGACGGGCGCTGTCTTTTTCCAAGTCCAACCACGAACTGCATTTTTATGCACGGACGCTTCCCAATTAGAAGTTGTTGGGAGCGAAAACTAGAAAAGTTTCAAAGAAACGGTCTACATTACCTGAAAGAGAATCGTTTTTTTATGCAAGGTTCCAAATTATCATACTTCAAAGTCGAACAGAAGTCTAAATATTCCACTTTAATTTTTTTAATCGTTGAAAATTATTGAAAGCGGCCATATTGGAAAACGGTGTCATGGTAAAAATTGTAAACACTGGTAAAATCCATGGTGTAACACAGGTATCGGCGGCAATCGATTGTATTTGCCAAGCTTTTATTATACAATTTGTTTATGTTATTTATATGAATTATTGCAGGAATAACTCTTTTATTCACACACAAATATTTCAGCATTAAAAAGAGAATGTGTAAAGGAAATTATGATAACCTTACTTAGAAATTAAATAGTTTATGATGTCCGATGTCAGATCATACTGCATTTAAGTCCGTTTAAATTGTCAAATTAGATATTATTAAGTTGGAATTTTTAAATCTGTGATCATTAGGTGAAATTTCTGAACTACCTTTTTATTTTATAACCCTGCCATGATTTCCCACATACGAAAATACAATGTAATTGTAGGTACATCTTAATTAATGAATTATAATTATACTATACATGATGAAGCAAAGAAGAATTTCAATTTATATTTCACTCCATATCATTTTCTAGTTTATTTTCTTTAAAAGAAATTGAGGACGGTTGTGTATGGGAAGAAGTTCAAAACAACCCAAAATAACTTTAAAAAATCTTAAAATTTCAAACTATAAAATGTTAAAATAATAAAGTCACAGCAATAACACGTATAATATCATTTTTTATTTTTCCAACGTTTCGGCAAATGTATGCCTTTTTCAAGGTAAATAAATAATAATAATATCAACGGACGTGACGTCGTAATTTTACAATTAACGTCACGCCCACTTTAGCGGAAAAACGAACAAATACGAACAATTCCAATTCATGATAAAAGAGATAAGTGCACCAAACAAAGCATCAAAATATAAAAACGACACAATAGATATCGGATTAATAAATACGAATATTTCCTATAGGGTTTAATTATAAAAAATAATTTATTTTTTTTTAAACTATAAAATGGAATTTCAGACAGTCCTCAGTAAAATATAATTGTCGCACAGATTTGACGGGGTTTATGATAAAAACACAGCAAGCGGAAATTTAGTGACCGTTATTTAGATGTTGAATAGCATAACAATGTAAGACAGATGGGAGAAATGTTGGAACGACTGTCGCAAAAGGCACCAAAACCTCTGATACCCATTAAAAATTCCATGTTATCTAGTTCCCGTTGAACGGCACCTCGAATGTGTCACATTGAAAGTTCCATGATTACCGCCGTATTATGTACACATCTGTGCATGGATGTTGATTAAAAATTTCAACATTATTATGTTTAAGTGATCAATTCTGTTTAAACCGGCGAAAGGGAGCACTTGAACCTACCAAAGCCGTCTTTGGCACTCCTGTGTATTTATGTTTCGATTTTGCAGTTTCAGGCGTTTTTGGTGGTTTTTTTTGGAGGGTGGATACATGAATGTGGATAAGTTTTTTCTGTTTCTTTACATTTCTTTGCTTGTTTGCCGAACCTTGTATTGATAATCATTATCTGTTTGTTACGGTTCGGTATACATGTATACAATATGATAAACAAGATGAACAAGGAAAGGCGGCGTTCAATGAACGCAAACCCCACATGACCCAGGAACATGAACCATTGGCAAGGAGCCCAGGAGGATCCTAAATTAAAACGGGAAAGGGCGCAAGGGAGAGCACGATCAGGCTTATCACTAAAATGTAACTGAGAAGGAAATCAAAGAAAATAAATAAATGAATGATTAATAGGACCACAAAGTTAACGAGCACAGGGGAAGGGGATAGGAAATTCGGGGAGGGGGCGAAATAAAGAAATAAAAACTAGGGGCAAAGGGTAGATACTTACCAAAGACGAAAAAACAACAAGGAACACAAACAAAAGTGTCACCAAAACAGTATGAAACAGGACCACTAAGTTAACGGGCACAGGAGAAGGGGATAGGAAATTCGGGGGAGGGGGCGAAATAAAGAAATAAAACTAGGGGCAAAGGGAAGAAACTTACCATAGACGAGAAAACAACAAGGGACACAAACAAAAGTGTCACCAAAACAGTATGAAACAACAAGACATACACCTTATACATTTATAAGTCTCTTAATCTGTTCATTTGAAAATTCTGATCTTCTCAATGACTTTTTTTAATATCCTCTACTTAAAATTTATTTCAATTAAAATATGTGACCCTTCCTTTATAGTTACACATCATATGGCTGGATCACAATAAAGTTCCCTTTTAGTAAATTAATAAAGTATGTCAAGAAGACATTTAACTTTATCAATAGGTTTAATATGGTATTATATATCGGCAATCGGTGAAAAAGAGCTCTTGAAATATTATTTGTACAAATACTGAATAATTTGAAGTGTATTTCAAATAGTTTCCTTCAATATTTCTTTTACGTTCTTAATTGTCATATAAATATGCATGTATAAATGAAGTCAGTATTTTATCCGAGAGTGACATTTGGCAGTCATTAGCAGTAAACAAGAAGGCAAACCACCAATTGATAAATGTTGAGTACATGTATTAAAATATTTAAAAAATATGAAACAACAGTACTTGTACGGAGCCTATTTGCGACCATTGCATTTTAGGTTAAATAGAATGATACTTTTCAATAGTATTTAATAATGCACACATTTATTAAAAATAATGAATAGATTTATTTCCCCGATATTTTGTTTAATTTAATCTTCATGCGTAACCCACACTTACCTGCTAGACACACTGGTAGCTACTACCAGCTTTCACGGAATCGATTTTTTACGATGACGTCATAACATGTCCGCCGAAGATAGAGTAGACAGTACAAATTTGAAATAAATCGCATGTATGCGTTAAGACAGGTACAATCTAATATTTTTTCTAGGAGAAGTTAGTACTAAAATTTATATTCTATTGATCTTTAGAGGTAATTGAAGTTACTTTCAGGTTTAAGCAGTAAAAATCAGTCCAAACTATCGATAGTGTTACCGGTAGATTTTCCGTGCGTAAAAATGACAGTTAAAATTAGGCGTAACGGTTTGACAGTAAGAAAAAAAAGTCTGTAAAATGGGTCAAACCGTTCACGCCAAATTAATTAGGCTAACTGAGTTGAAGGTAACTTGCACTCAATATTTGATGTTTTAATGTTTTAATCGTATTCATAGTTTGATATCGCATGTGTTTTAATGTTATGCGTATCATATCACATTATAAAGTAAGCACCATATAGAAATAGACATTGGAAATAGATACACAAAGATACATGTCTATACATTCAAACAGTTAAATAGATAATCGCGTTTGTAACTCCCCACAGCGGTTACTTCCCCTAATCAGTACAAAATAATGGTAAACAAGATACCTTTGCGTATAATGTATAAGCGGTGCATATTGTTTCTTCAATTTAAGCGTTACCTAGTTTTTTTTCTTTTATGTTTTGAAGCTTTTGAAAAAAAATTGTTCGGAGTATACAAAGAATTATGTTACCATTTGCTTCATTCTGTCATTGAGCAGTGATGTGTTGATATTGTGTATAAGTGTAAAGAATTGATAGTTCTTTAAACAATTGGTAATCTTATAATATCATCTTAAAGAGACATTATGCTCATTATTCTCATTGTCAAATTGAACTGAATTGACTCATTATTTCAAAAGACTGGGTGTTATAATAGTTGATCTTGAACATTGTTAAGGATAAGTTATTTATCTGCTTAAAATATAAAAAGACTGTTCCACTCCTTTTATAAATTGAACGTTGAAGGTTTATTTCGATGTATTTTTATATAAATTCACTTGGGTATTGTTAGTTAATTATCGTTTATGCGAAATGAATTATAAATTGAAAGAAATTGCCAAAATGTTAACTTATTTTGACTTTCACTCAGTATATGCACTTGATCGGGCACTTTATTAAGTTATTGTGGGGATGGGGGTTAAATTGGTTTCAATATAATTTTCAAGGTTCTCACCTATCAATAAATAAAGAACAATCGTTAAGAAAACAAAGCATTCGTACAGAAATGATTTGATGCACTAAGTTTTTTCCATTTGTTTGTTTGTTCGTTTTTTAGTTTCACGATTAACGTAATCTTTGAGAGATCGATTGTTTTGATATTTCATCATTCATATTTTTCTTGCAGATATAACAAATTTTTGCTGATTCAAACTCAACAAACATGGAATGCTCAAAAGAACTTGCGTGGCAATCCAATAGATTGTTTGAGGAGACTAACTGGCGAATGTTGCAAGATGAAAGACTTTGTGATGTCACATTTCTTGTTGGAAGCGGGAAGGAAGAGAAAATAATGGCGCACCGATTCATATTAGCAAGCAGAAGTACTGTCTTCTTTACAATGTTTTGTGGATCACTTCCTGAGATCAATAAAACAGTTGATGTTCCTGATATTGAACCTGCTATATTCCGCGATTTGTTAAGGTATTTTAGAATATTTCAATTGAAGTACTTTAACAGTCGTCATAAGAGTTAAGTCTGTGAACTTCTGGTTAAATATACTAGGAAATCTTTGAATATAATTGTTTGAAAAACATTATTTACTTTCCGTTTAAAACATGTTTGAAACGCAAAGAAATAATTTTTGATTGACTGCAAATTTAGGCTTAGATTGCATGAAAAATAATATTCACTAAGATTCTGCATGGTATGTTTATAACAAGAGCACCGCCGCAAGGCGTAGCATTATATGCCCGAAAGTGTTTTTTTAGCTCACCTGAGCATATACTCGGGATGAGCTATTAGGATCACTCTTCGTCCGTCGTACGACGTCCGTTGTCCGTTCACACTTTTAAAACGACATCTCCTCTGAAACCATAAGGCAGATCAGAATGGAACTTCACAGGGATGTTCCTTGTGTGAAGCCTTAACAAAGTTGTTCAAAGAATTTAATTCCATGCAGAACTCTGGTTGCCATGGCAACCGAAAGAAAAAACGTTAAATATCTTCTTTTAAAAAACCCTAAGAGCTAGAGCTTAGATATTTGACATGAAACATCTTCTAGTGAATGTCTACCAAGTTTGTTCAAATAAAAGCCCTGGGGTCAAAATTGGCCCCGCCCCAGGGGGTCATTGATTTTCCCTATATGCATATAGTAAAAACTTAAAAAATCTTCTTTTAAAGAACTCAAAGAGCTAGAGCTAAGATATTTAGTATGAAACATGTTCTAATGGGTGTCTACCAAGTTTGTTTAAATAAAAGCCCTTGGGTCAAAATTGGCCCCGCCCCAGGGGTCATTGATTTTCCTTATATGTGTATAGCAAAAAGTTAAAAAATCTTTTTTGAAAAAAACCAAATAGCTAGAGCGGAAACATCTTCTAGTGAGTGTCTACAAAGTTTGTTAAAAAAAAATCCCTGGGGTCATAATTGGCCCCGCCCCGGGGGCCATTGATTTTCCTTAAATGTGTATAGCAAAAACTTAAAAATATTCTTTGAAAAAAACCCAAATAGGTAGAGTTTAGATATTAAGCATGAAACATCTTCTAGTAAGTGTCTACAAATTTTGTTCAGATAAAAGCCCTGGGGTCAAAACGGGCCCCGCCCCAGGGGTGTCATTGTTTTTAACTATATGTGTATAGTAAAAACTTAAAAATCTTCTTTTAAAAAAACCCAATGAGTTAGAGCTAAGATGTTTAGCATGAAACATCTTCTTATGGGTGTCTACCAAGTTTGTTCAAATAAAAGCCCGTGGGTTTAAATTGGCCCTGCCGATGGGGGCGAGGGGGGGGGGGAGATCGTTGTTTTTCATTATATGTGTGTAGTAAAAACATCTTCTAATGGGTGACTCTTCCGAGTCTGTTCAAATTAAAGCTCTAGGGTTTAAACTGGCCCAGCTCCGGGGGCCTATAAACAGGTGAGCGACCTCAGGGCCATCATGGCCCTTTTGTTTAGTAAGGATGAAGCATTAGTAAGACATTACATTAATTAAATAAAGTATTACCTCCTTCAAATAGCAATCCTCCTATAAAGTTTGAATATTGTGGGCCGAATGGAACTTAAGTTATGCTCTGGAAACTGTTTTCAAATTTGAGGTAATAGCGACCTTAAACTTTGACCTTGTGACCCCAAAATCAATAGGGATGTTCTACTCAGTATGGACAATAATCCTATACGGATTCAACACTATGGGTCAAATAGAAATTAAGTTATGTTTTGGAAACTGTTTTCAGTTTTAAAGTAATAGTGATCTTGACCTTTGACCTTGTGACCCCAAGATCAATAGGGGTATCATACCATAAAGGACAATCATCCTATGAAGTTTGAATATTGTGGGCCACATTGAACTTAAGTTATGATCCGGAAACTGTTTTCAGTTTTGAAGTAATAGCGATCTTGTCCTTAATAATTAGGTGTCTTTCAAAAGGACCCGGCACAGTGTTTGGATAGTGTAAAAAAAGTAATTCTAGAAAAAAAATATAGTTTATATATAATATATAGACAAGGGGTTGAACTCGCCAAATCGGCAGAATGCCACTAGTCCAGTATAAGTCAAAATTGAAAAGTCGTTTTTATGTAAATCATATTAAGTTATAATATATCAATTTGCAGCTAAATGACATCCCTTGACGTTGGCAATAGCATTATTGTTCCCACTTAAACCGTTTTTGAATAACAAACCGATATTTCGGATGGAACATCGTATTTTTGCTAGGTCGACATCAACCGTGCAACCTGTCAACACTCGATTTTCTACGTGTAAAAACGCAATTCTAAACCATGTCATTGTACCAACCCGAACTAAATCGATAAAACAAAACCAAAGAAACAACTTACCGCCTAAAATCGATTTTTAAAATGTTTTATTACATCTGTAAACAACTAATTTCTGAATGTGAAAATGAAAGTTGTTATCGGCATCCATTGGCTATCACGTGACCGATTAGAAACGGATTATTTCATTGGTTGATTAAAATACAAAAGCTGAGCTGGGTCACAGTATCGTCCAATCAAACAGTGTCTTACAACCGAAGCCGAGTATGTCTCAAGGCTTTAAAACGGAAGAGTTAAAAAAACTGAATGTTTGCTATAATTGATTGGTTTTAAAACAATTTCCAGCAGTAAGTTGTTTCTTTGGTTTTGTTTTATCGATTTAGTGCGGGTTGGTTCAATGACATGGTTTAGAATTGCGTTTTCAAGGTATGTCATTTAGCTGCAAATTGATATATAACTTAATATGATTTACGTAAAAATGACTTTGCAATTTTGACTTATACTGGACTAGTGGCATTCTGCCGATTTGGCGAGTTCAACCCCTTGTCTATATATTACATATAAACTATATATTTTTTTCTAGAATTACTTTTTTACACTATCCCAACACTGTGCCGGGTCCCTATGGGGTCTTCTACCCAATATGGACAATTATCCTATGAAGTTTGAACACTGTTGGCCAAATGGAACTTAAGTTATGCTCCGGAAACTTTTTTTTAGTTTTAAGGTAATAGTGACCTTGACCTTTGACCTTGTGACCCCAAAATCAATAGGGATCTTTTACCTAATATGGACAATCTTCCTATGAAGTTTGAACACTATGGGACAAACGATACTTAAGTTATGCCCCGGAAACTGTTTTCAGTTTTAAGGTGATAGTGACCTTGACCTTTGACCTTATGACCCCCAAATCAATAGGGGTCTTCTACCCGATATGAACAATCATCCTATGAAGTTTGAATATTGTTGGCCAAATGGAACTTAAGTTATGCTCCGGAAACCAAATTGCTAACGGACGGACGGACAGACGGAGGTACTCACAAAATGGTACTTATGTGACTTTTCCTTTGATCTTTTTGGCCATTTTTAGTCACACAAGGCTTAAAAAAAGACACACAAGTAAAAACGGAATGAATAGGATCAAGGAGAATTTAATGTTACCCATTGTTCTCCAAGTCACACAAGTACTTCTGGGTTTGTACGGACGGACGGACGGACGCCATGGGGTATAACATAATATGCCCAAAATTCTTTCGGGCTTATAAAATGCATAGCGAATGAATATACATGTTGATATAAATATTGCAATATTTTATCGATATCACAATACTACAATGTCATTGAATTTATAAATCATAATAATTCTTTGAAGGTTTATTTACACGGAAGACTGCAGCGTTAACGAGAATAATGTAATGGCTCTACTATACTGTTCAAAGAAGTATGGATTGGAACGCCTCAGAGAAGCATGTCAAAAGTTTCTGAACACAAATATTTCTTCAGACAACGTTTGCACAATTTTACAACATGCAAATCAATTCGACGAAGATGAATTAGAAAACAGATGCCTTACGTTTGTGACGGAGAACGCTAAGACAGTGTTAAAATCGGATGGTTTGTCTACTATTTCTAAAGAAGTTTTAAAGAAAATTATAGAATCAGATGAACTTTATGTAGATGAATTATTTGTGTACAATGCATGCAAGAAATGGGCAATTGCACATTGTAAAAGTAAAAGTGATACTCATGAGCATTCAGAGCTAGAGCAAAGGCGTGAGTTAGGGGACCTCATATATTCAGTGCGGTTTGCTACAATGTCGTTCCAAACATTTGCAGAGAATGTGGCCGTTGAAAATATATTGACTTCAGAAGAAAAGGTGTTCGTTTTTCAAAATATAGCAGGGATAGCTAGCAAGAACACATCATCTCCGTTTCAAGTAATATCAAAAAATCGAAGTTATAGAACGGAAATTATCGAAGTACAAAGATTTGGCCCGAATTATGTTAAGCAATGGAATTATGGCGGAAATCCCGATGTTTTGAACTTTAAAGTGTCCATTTCATGTAAGATTGTAGGTGCAAGTTTGTTTGCTCCTTATGAAGAAGGTATTTTAGAAGGTACAATAAGTTTGCAAAATGACACATCTGTATTGATAGCTGAAAAGAATGTAAGGATAATATATGAGGTTTCTAAGTATTATGAAATTGTTTTGTTCGACAAACCAATCGATATTGAACCAGAAAGGGAATACACTATATTTGCCTTACTTAGAGGTGCGAGTACATTAAAAGGAAATGATGGGAAAACGAAAGTCGTTTCAGGACCACTTGAAGTTAATTTCTCAAACAACGTTAAAAGTACAAATAGCACATCTCCATCACAAGGACAATTCCACTCATTCTCTTTCGAGATCAAAAAGCAACTTTAAATTGAGTATTATGCAATTACACAAACCTTTTACACAGATAATTAAATATCTAGTGATTTTTCAACAACGCAGATGCAGCAGTGAATGAAAAATGTATTTGTTAATATGTTACTGTATTCCGTTGAATATAGGCTCTTTTAGACAGCGAAGGAGTGTTGTTTAATAGAGAAATAAAGTTACATTAAATACCCATAACCTTGAGTTGTAAACAATTTTAATTCAAAATTATTTAAAGTGTGTTTCTTTTGTTTTCTTAATTGCTTAAAGACGCATTTTATGAATATAGAAAAATATTTTGCTATCGGTCTTTTTTTACTGGCCATAGCTTTCGCAGAAGCGGTGGTTCTACCGCAGCGACGGTCGAGTATTCGTCGCAGAAGCGGTGGATAAAATATGGCCGTTTGCTGTTTTCGGTAAGTATATGACTGAATTTTGTTTTATGTTTTAATGTTTTACTGGAAACACTCAGTGAGACTGGAGCCCACATATGTACTCTTTCAACCTATTACAAGGACACGGTGCAATCCATTGCCGTTTATGCAAATACTTCTGTACAGTTTGATGAGGGGCGCCCACTTTTGCCTAGTTTTTGGTTAAAACACATACAAATGTGTGCAAAACGACCCCATAAATGCATCGGCATCACATCCAATCAATGATACTTTTCACAAATTAACTATAATTTGGGAAATTGGGAAATTATTATTGCCTGTTTATAAAATAAATGACAAAAAATGTTTTAGTCGCAGACGGCGGTGAATTCGGTTGCAACGCAGTGCGGTGGGCCCGATACTATTTTTGTATTTTTAAAGAGTTTAACTTGACGTAACGCATTTTTCAATTGAGTACAGCCCTCTTCTTACTTTGACATCTGAGAAACGTGTTTATTTGATGTTTAAAACGATATTAATTATTATATATACGTTTCGTACAAGTATATGTCCGAGGTCCGCTTTTCATTTTCCTGCCATTGAAAAATTACTTCAGCCATAATTATCATTGAATAATCTACGTTCAACCTTGGACTTAAAAAGACCGTAAGTTCATTTTTGTCATACAGACATATAAAAGATACTCTGTAAAGATAAACAGAACATGCTTCTTGAATACGAAAAACAACCTCAGTTTTTAATGTCACTGTGTTATATTACCATATAGTGAGAACACTAATATAAATAAATTTTATGTTAACAGCGTAAGAGTTATTTCAGGAAAAGTTTTTTCTCTATTACTTTTTAGTAAAGACCTACGCGTTTTTTCTTCTTTTTCTTAAATTGGGGCATATATAAAAAAATGGTTTCAGATATGGTATATGTTTAAAGAATTTTAAAGTATGAAATGAAATAAAAAAAGGTAATAGAAGTATTTTATGGAATTAAGTCTTTCTTTAAAAATGTACACACATATAGTAAAGAACTTAATAAGCGGGAGAAAAAAAGATTTTTCAGAATTACATTTAAGTTATATGACCTTGAAAAAACCACAATTAAGGAAAAAATCAAATTCACGTACAGGAAATGAGATCGGTGACCCCTACGTTTTTTTCCGCTCTAAATGTTTATGTTATCATATTCTAGCATCATGCTTAATTTAAAGAATATAATTATATTGAACCTCCTTAATTTTGCGTGTATGTGTTTATAATACTGCACATTTGTTACGTCACTTTTCATTGGATAATCGTGACGTTTATATACATACAATATACTCTTTAAATACATGGCTGCCGTCGATTTATGAAATTATCTCATTTTTCTCTAACAAAAATGCTTGATGTATTATGAGTTCGTTGTAAATAAATCCAACAGATTATATGGTCGTATATCAACGGTTGTTCGCAATATTAATGGCTATCGATCGAAATTCTTTATAATACTTGTACATGTTGTAAAAATCAGAAAATAAAGTTACAAATAAACCAAAGAGCTCTATAATTAGATAAACGTCTCGATTTTCCAATCAAACATGCAGTATTATAAAGTTTATATATTTATATACACGACTGCTGTTTATTTAATAAGAAATTTTATGTTTATGTATTATATTTTCAAACAACCGTTTATATACGGCCATTTTGTATAGCCTTTCAAAATCTTTATAACTAATATGATACTCTCGAAAATGCCATGAATATGTGTTAACTTTATGTTTTTATAACTCATATGCCGTAATGCAAAAATATATGCATATATATGTATATACCTGCCATGCCGCTTTTAATAAGTCAGAAATCGGCATTGGCTATACGGTATAACACGTGATCACGTGTAACATGTAAATGTCTGACACATGTGATATTTTGGCTGGATTCATCACATTTGTGGAATTCCCCTGCACATCGCTATATTTCCTTTCGGTGGTGCATCAAGATCAAATATTATGACTCTTAGTTTCCGCCGTTTCCTCTACGGTCCGGGTTGTCAAATGCATGAACCCTAATATGAACTTGGAAATACAAATATGATAAAGGGCATTATATATATTATATTGTTCTTACTTTCCTGCGCTTTTCAACTGGAATGGTGCATTCACAATCAAAATATACTTGATACTTAGTAATAACCCGCAATAAATTGTTGAACGTGGATTATTCTATGATAATTAATGGCTGAAGTAATTTTCAATGGAAGGAAAATGAAAGCCGACCTCGGACATATATTTGTACGAGAGTATATATAATAATTAATATCGTTTTAAACATCAAATAAACACGTTTCTCAGATGTCAAAGTAAGAAAATGGCTGCACTCAATTAAAAAGTGCCTTACGTCAAGTTAAATTCTTAAAATATACAAAAATGGTATCGGACCCACCGCACTGCGTTGCAATCGAATCCACCGCCGTCTGCGACGAAAACATTTTTTGTCATTTATTTTATAAACAGGCAATAATAACTTCCCAATTTTTCAAATAATGGTTAATTTGTGAAAGTATCATTGATCGGATGTGATGCCGATGTATGATGGGGTCGTTTTGCACACATTTGTATGTGTTTTAACCAAAATTAGGCAAAAGTGGCGTCCCTCATCAAACTGTACAGAAGTGTTTGCATAAACGGCAATGAATTGCACCGTGTGTGTGTAATAAGTTGAAAGAGTACATATGTGGGCTCCAGTCTCACTGAGTGTTTCCAGTAAAACATTAAAACATAAAACAAAATTCTGTCATATACTTACCGACAACAGCAAACGGCCATATTTTATCCACCGCTTCTGCGACGAATACTCCACCGTCGCTGCGGTAGACCCACCGCTTCTGCGAAAGCTATGGCCAGTGTGATAATGTTGGTCCACAATACATGAAAACCTTGCTAAAATTTAAAATAAGCGTACAGGTCAGTCTGACTGTCAAAAGCTAAATGACTATTGAATCGATAATTTTGCACGTGCAAAATTATACGAATAGCGACATCTAGCGGTCACTCAATACATTCAGGGAAATTAATTTTCTTCTTATTCGCTACTCTCAAACAAAGAAAATTACATGTCGTACAACGTTACGTCAATTTTAACGAGACGTCATATTGTATGGTTTATTCGATATCCTGATGGCCATACCCTATATGGACGAAGAAATTAAAGGAAAATAATTATTACAGTCATTAAACATAGTTTATTTTTAAATTATGAGAATCGAACACCAATATCACAAAATTATAATTTTCATTCTGACCTTTTCTGCACAAAACAACCGAACATCATTAGTCAGTACGGATCGCTACATCATTTCTACCCATATCTAAATCGATAGTATCATACACGTACATAGTCTTGAGTGATTTACTATTATTGCATGAGAGGATTATGTTTATGAAATAAGTTTTTCCTAAGTGTAATATATGTTATAACCAGGTTGTGAAGTTATTTTTTTTTTTGTAAAAGCAGTCGTCATTTGGCGCTTGGTTAAGATATCCATTTGTCTTATTTGTTATTTAAATCGTATTAGATAGCAAAAGAGGAAAGTAAAGAAACGAAAACGGCAATCCATATGAAAATATATGAAACCAGGGATTTCCATATTTATTAGTATTTCTTACAAAGGATTCATTGAATGAATCGCAAATAAATCAGGTTTTAAAATCGACTAACATCTAAACGATTACCTGTTTATTGCAACATCATGGTAATTATGATTGTTTATCATTAGTAACATATTTTTTCTGAACAAGATTTATAAGTGACTGATCACTTATACTTTATAATCATAACTAGTTCATTGTAATTAGAAAAAGTAACATCATAATTCATTAACGATTTTGTATACTGGATGTTTCGGTCTTCCTGTCCCGCATAAAATAAAGTCCTGTAATAACAACTGTTAAACTATTAACAAATACCTGTTTGTTTTGTTTGTTTTAAGGGGAGAGAGGTGTATGCTTTTTATCTGCTTGACCAAGAAATATAGGTGTATTGGTGTATTTTTGAGAGAAGACCTGGAGTTGATATATAGAAGTGTAATAAACTGATACTTAGATAAGATTTATACTAAACAATAATAATAAAATGTACTAAAAATGTACTAAAAAGGAATGCCATTTAAATTTTAATATATGAATAATATAAAAGTTATAAGACTACAGGATAAGGTAGCGCGGTGTCTGCCGTTAAAATTTATGCTTACAATGTTTTTAGTTTATACCAATTTATTAAATTTCGGTGGTATTGTGTTGGAAGCTATAAGCTTATTGAAACAATCAAATCCGTTTCAAGAACCAGTCAGTACTAGCCAATAGGTGAAAACTTTCTTGCTGACTGAAATAACGGCTTGCCCCAACGGGGTTTAAACCCACCCGGTCAGCAATCCAGATTACTTATTTAGATTACTAGTCCAACGCGTTAACCACTCGACCACCACTACCTACAATGCGTTGACATTGCTTCTCAGTACTTATGACTTCCAAGTTTGTTAGAAATTTTGCAGACTTATACTTTAAGCTTTATACTTCACTCTACCAAGTTTGTATAACAATATGTATAATATATGCCCTTTTAATATATGTAAATTGCGAGGAAGCTATCAAGTCATCTTACGAACGTCGGTGGCTGCCTCGTGCTTGAAATAATGCACGGGGAGGCACCGATTCTTCCTCCACGAGTAAAGCTTACAAGTAAGTCGTCATGAATGACCTCTTTTACTACTTATGTTGATGCGACGTAAAATCGTAAAAACAAAAAAAAATCTTAAAACTGACCACTTGATAAGTATTTATATGTAATAGATACCAATTTACTTTATATAAGTACTATACGTAATAGTTATTTTTGATATATTAATTTCTATTATGGTACTAC